TCAGATTTTAGTGTATTATAAATGTTTCATTACCGAAAAAAGTAAAAATATGCGACAACCCTTGTTGACTGCCCGGACGATTTAGCTGCTGTGGACGTATGTTTCGTTGCCTGGCAACCTATCTTTTTAAGTTTGTCTGGTCTATATATTCTTTAGGGTTTGGAATTGTAAAGAAATTGTAAAAAATTCTAGTGAAGTTTTTATATAGCACCATTATCATTTACCTTGACATATATAGTAATTTCATTAACTGATTTTGTAGCTATATAATGTTTTTGATTTAAAAGTTCCTAATTACTAATTTAAATAATTTTTTTCTGAAATCAGAAAATATAAATCTTCTCCTTATTCAAAATAATAACAACAAATGTTGATATTCAAATGAGTCAGTTTTATAGTATATAATACTAAGTACATGGCACTCGTAACGTGAGTAACACAAAAAATGGAAAAACAATGATGGTTGAATTTTTTTTATGGTTATGTCAGCCATATTTTCTATGGAATATCTACTATTGACCATGTACTTAAAATAAAATGATTCAATATAAAATGTCATTTATTCTCCATATAATGGCACCTACAAATTTGTAACGTGAGTAACAGAATCATTTATGTAACGTGAGTAACGCAATATGTGATGTGATTAACACACATTACCTCTATATATTTCAGCTAGAATTATTTTTATACGCCCACATCTTCATGTGGACGTATTATACCATGGTCCCTGGACACTCTACAGGTCACAATTTTTATCCAATTTGAACGAAACTTGAAATATAGGTCATCTCCCAAAGATCTCAGTTCCTTTCGATATTGTCATGTATCGGACCATAACTTCATGTATTATGTTTTTAGCTTGTGGACACTCTACAGGTAACAATTTTCATCTGATTTGATGAAACTTGAACTGCATGTTTATAACCCAAAGATCTTAGTTCCTTTTGATATTCGTGCATATCGGAATTGTAACTTCCTGTATTATGGCCCCTGATTGTACGAAAAATCACGTTTTTAGCTTGTGGACACTCTAGAGGTCACAATTTTCATCTGATTTTGATGAAACTTGAAATGCATGTTTATAACCCAAAGATCTTGGTTCTTTTTGATATTCGCGCATATCGGATTGTAACTTCCCGAATTATGACCCCTGATTGTATGAAAAATCATGTTTTTAGCTTGTGGACACTCTAGAGGTCACAATTTTCATCTGATTTTGATGAAATTTCAAATGCATATTTATAACTCAAAGATCTTGGTTCATTTTGATATTCGCACATATCGGTTTGTAACTTCCTGAATTATAGCCCTTGATTGTATGAAAATTCGAGTTCCTCTACAGTTAAGAATTTTTATCCTATATAAAAAACAGTTTGAATATATCACTGTTACACACTATATCGGATCGTAACTTCCCGAATTATGACCCCTGATTATATGAAAAGTCACGTGGTGGACACTGTATTAATATTATTCAAAATGAACTTGAACATATACTTTAATAAATTGAAATTAAAATTTTTGTAAGCTTATTTTTCGAAAATTTTAGATAACTTTGCACTGTTTAAGTAAACCTACCAACAATTGGTTGAATAAGTGACTTAAGAACGTATTCGCCATAGCACCAGGCAGTGGGTGCTAAGGTGAAGGTGACGGATTTAGACCAAATTTTGGTGGTGGGTAGGGTTAGTCCTAAGACCTCCATAGTTGCAACCTCAATCAATTCTGTCAGTCCTATAGAGAGAAAATCGAATTTATATATCATACGCTGTGAAAATGGTGAAAAACCATAAAAACAATTGTAAACTTTTGACGGCTCTTATACTTATATTAGATATTGTAAATGATCTTGTGACATTTTGTAGCTGAACTCATCCCCTAATCACCCTATATGGATATATCTCTCAGAACCCACTCAGGTCTATTCCAGGCTGGATACCAAACACTATCAACAATTCCTATCATTTTACGTACTTAGTTCAAATCTATATAGAGCACTCTTCCTGGGGATGACTGCCATGGGGTCATTATCAAAAATAAGAGAGACATCCATATTTATGATAACAAAAATAAAAATGACCGGAATCCACATATTGAGTGAGCGAGCGTATTTTGAACTTTATCTATTTTGTGGAAAAATCAACTCGTCTCCAAGCATTAAAGTCAGAATAGAACGTTTTTAACTCAACGTTCCTTCAAAATAAGACACAAATACTAATATGGGGACTGATTTCAATTTATGATAAATAAAAAATTCCGGAAAACAACGGAAAATTATCCGAAAACACCGAAAAATTCTGAGAAAATATCAACAGGAAATAGAATGAAAACCATACTCGCTGGAACTGCTTAGAGCGCTCTCTAAATATAAATTCCACTCTTAGGTCATAAATATTTTCAGAAAACACCAGAATAAAGTACCGGAAAACTCCGGAAAAATAATAAATAGCGAAGAGAGATTGATAATAGGTTGCTACTTGGAAGAAACTTATTGACGTGCATCCATGCTTTATTTTCGGCTTTTTACTATGAGACCCAGTAGAATGTATGGTCTGAACAGGTTCTAAGCTTGGTATCCAACTTAACCGGAAGTAAATCGTGTACGCAGGTCAATTAAAATAGTTTCTTCCATCAGTACAAATTAGTCAAGCAAGGTCATTCTCATTATGTGATATGCACCAGTATAAAGATTCATTTTGAATGAAATGAAAGACAAGGTATCTCTTTACATTACAAAGAGGTGTACAGTTGTCACAGTTTTTCTTTTCCTCAGACTGATTATAAGTTTTATCCTGACTGAAAACAACTATAATCTTTACATAGATTAGAATGAAAATAATGAGTAACTATAGTCATTTAGTTCTTACATCACTGCGATTTGCAGCCACCTGCGGTATGGTCCCAGATCACTAAATCTATTCTGCTAAATGGCTGGAGTTCCTGATTGTAAAAAAAGATCCAGCTTCATTATAGAGTTCAGAGGATGAAGTTGGTTTTTACACTTGTCAGAACGATGCCAACATATGCCAAGTTTATAACGGTGTACTGGGCATATAGTCATTTCATTAACAGAAACATCAATCAGTTTGAAATGTCCTGATCTTAGTAGGATTAATTCGATTTCCGTCGAAACATTGTTTTTTAGTAGATGTACCCGCTTTAAATGAGTAGTAATGTCCTTTTGACATGACGATAACGGTACTACTGTAGTTTCTTTAGCATATGATGAGTGTTGGCCGCACTAAATCGCCGGCATAACGGCCGAAAAGGAGCATTTTGTAGTCATTTTACTGATTTTGCGAAAAAGACGCCATTGCTGGAGACCAAGCAAACACTGGGACGAGTGTTCAGTCAGAAACTGTCCAGGTCTCAATGAACAGATGTAGAGAGACCGGATAGATGCTACTCGATCGATTTTAAACATTAGATAACGAATTTTCTTATATTTACAGGCCACAACTAGGGCTAAAATTATCTGAAAATGGCATTTTTCAAGTTGCCCCCGCAGGTTAATGGAGTGGGCAGTTCTTTTTTGGTAGAGCTACTTCATGACATCATACAACCCGGATACTGATAAATTTCATATCTTCTATCTACTCAAAGAGCATTGCAAGCATACATAGATCTGTGATTTTTCCGAAAAATTTAATGAGCAGTCAAATTTCAGATGGCTATAGTAACTCAGGGAAATAGATATAAAAATCAATACTTGTGAGGAATTGAGGGCCCAGCAGACCCTCTTCAAATATTGCCTGAGATGGGGTGGATAAGTTAAAATAATGCTGTGGAGCTCCTGCAAAGTAACACAAAAATCTACTGAAAAATCAGCTATTTTACGGTAAAAAAAACTAATTGCCCGCTGTAGGCCGTACAGGCGGGCGATGACTGAAATATTTATACCTGTGATACAGGACCCCTAGGGGGTCATATAGCAATAGTCTGATGGGAAACTTCAAACATCACACCTTAGCACATTTTCAAGATTTTGCCTGGTCCTCTCGCGAATACGTTCTTAAGTACTACTAATAATTAGTATTATCTGTGGTTGGATTTATTTGAACTTATCCTGAAACATGTCATCACTTATAAAGTTTTATTTATAAGTATTCTTTAGTTTTCATTTTACAATATGAATGTAATGTGAGTAACAACATTTTCTACACGTTTCATTAAAAAAATCAGATCCTTTTCATATATTTATACTTTATTGCAAAGAAATAACTTAATAACAGCCATACCTATTGCAATAAATACTTATTATAAATAAGAGATTAGACTTGAAGGTAATATTTATGTGCTAACAAAACATCAAAATTTTGGTGTCCATTCCATGTAACGTGAGTAACACCATGTTTTTCAGATGTCACCCCAAAAAATTATTTCATTTTTGTTTACATTCTATCTTATGATTTCCTTCCATCATTGATGGATGCCCATACACAATATTTAACATATCAATGTCGATTGTTGTTTGTAGTCTTAATCTCAATATAGGGCTCTTTAAATGTAACGTGAGTAACTGGAATTCCCCTAAGCATATCATGTTCTGAATATAAAAAAATAGGTGCACCTCGCTTTTTTTCATATTTAATTCCTGTACGGTATTCAAATTCATGTCAGTAATATCCCTACAAAATTACAAGTTTTCGTACCGTAATACGATAGAATGAAGGCCAACCCATACCTGCCTCAAATTCATGCCAGTAATATTCCTCCAAAGTTATGTGTCTTCATTTAACATATGTGGCAGAAAACGAAAGCAAAACATCCATCATAAGAATAGTTTGTGATTTGTCAAAACATTATTTGTCTTTATGTAACAGTATTTTAAAATTCCATTTGTGTAGTAGCATCAACACCAGTATGCAATGCAGGCATTGTCGCCATGTTCTTGTTATTTGCTCATGTGACTTGTTTTTCTGCCAAAATGAACCATTCTAGTTAGCTTTTCAGGATTAAGATATAAAGGAAGTCACACAAATTATTTCTTATTTTAGGTTATGTTTTTAAATGAATTAGAAGAAGTATTGGATGTGATAGAACCAGCTGAATTTACTAAAATAATGGTTCCACTCTTTAAACAACTGGCAAAGTGCGTATCCAGTCCTCACTTTCAGGTACAAGATAACATTTTACTTTCAAGTACTGATTATATTTTTTTTCTATTTATAATATAATTAATAAAACATTTCTGGAATAATATTTAAACAAACTGAACTTCTTTGATTTAGGTGAAATTAAAGTTTTGAATTGGGTTGAACTGTTATTTCGATTAGTGATTGGGAAACCTGTGTACAATTAGATTTTTATTTTCAAAGATTAAATGGAAGTTGGCTTTTTTACTAATTTTAGTTGATGGCTTATTGTGTCTGTAGTGGAACACAGATTCAGTTATATCTCACCACTGGCTTTAGTTATAATTGTCAAAGTTTTCACAAAGACCAGTTGTCAACAAACAAAACAAATCAACATATAAAATCCATTGAAAGTTTTAAACCAAATCAAAGAGGGTTAGCCATTTTAAACATCACTCCAAGAAATTATTGTTTCTTTAAAGAGATTTATTTTATGGACATAAAAAAAAGAAATACATATTTAATACACAAAGCTGATAAAATGACTGAAAATTTACTTGATGTCTGTCTGCGCCATCATGAAACCAGACGAACAACCTATATAATACTTAAAGCTTCAAATGAATTTGTAAAAATGTGAATTGTTTCTGGACAGTTACAAAGTGGTATTTGAAATATCACTGCCCAAATGGAAAGTAGAAATATCCAATCTTACTAGAAAAATACTGGATTCCCTGAAAAACACTCATGGTGCGCATACAGGAGAAAAATGTAAGGGTTTCTCTAATCGACAGCCCGACGATTACGTGTGTCTGCATGCGTGACGTCAAAGGTTGCACGCGGAGATTTAGCGCTTGATGAACATGTTGATAGATTTTATGAAGAGTTAGAAGTAAAACACTTTCTGAGATAAAAATCACAGAAAAAGACGCGAGCAGTGGACAATCCGAGAATTAAATTAGGCTTCGAAATTTGTAATAAATAGATGGCGATTAAAGACAACATCGTCGTGTGTATGCAATGAATTCTCCTCCTCCGAGAGAGGTAAGTCACGTGAAACAAACACGACACCTTTTGATCGATTTTTTTATAGCCAGGGTATTCCCCGACAATTGCAATGTTTTGAGAAGGATTTGAAGCAAAATTATGATAAATTAATTAGTTTGAATATGTTTTTAGTCCAAATATATCATTAAATCACCCAGTTTGTACCCAGGAATGTATCTTTAAGTAGCATTTAGCGATTGGGAAAACACATTAACTGAACACGTTTTTATGGGAAACAATCACTTGTTTATTCTAAAAGCACGACGTTTCGACAAGTATCCTCTTATCGTTATCAAGTTCTGTTAATTTTTATACGCCCACATTTTCATGTGGATCTATATTGTCGTCGCCGCTGTCCGTCCATCCAAAATTGTTTGTGAACAGTCCACAGGTCACAATTTTTATCCGATTTCAATGAAACTTGAAATATAGGTTTATCACCCCAAGATCTCGGTTCCTTTCGATATTGGCATGTATCGGACTGTAACTTCATGGATTATGGCCCCTGATTATACGAAAAATCACGTTTTAGCTTGTGGACCCTATAAGAGGTCATAATTTTTATCCGATTTAAAAAACCGTATTATTATATCACCATTACACCCTAAGGATGACAGAATTCAAATTTAGTGATAATCGGATCAAAATTGACAGACAAAATGGCCGCTGTTCGTTCTCAAATAGCGTAAAAATATGGTATATCAAAGTTGTGGACCCTATAGAGGTCACAACTTTTATCTGATTTTGTTGAAACTTGAAATGTAAGTTTATAAACCAAAGATCTTGGTTCCTTTCGATATTCGCGCATATCGGATTATAACTTCATGAATTATGGCCCCTGATTGTTAAAAAAATTGCGTTTTTAGCTTGTGGACCCTATAGAGGTCATAATTTTTATCTGATTTAAAAAATCGTATTATTATATCACCGTTACACCCTAAGGACGGCAGAGTTCGAATTTCGTGAAAATCGGCCCAAAACAGACAGACAAAATGGCCACCGTTCGTTCTCAAATAGTGTAAAAATATGGTATATCAAGGTTGTGGACCCTATAGAGGTCACAATTTTAATCCGATTTTAATCCGATCTCAGTTCCTTTCGATATTTGCGCATATCAAATTGTAATTTTCTGAATTATGGCCCTTGATTGTAGGAAAAATCACTTTCTTTTTAGCTTGTTCTCTATCCATCTCTCAAAAATGTGGGCGTATCCTGCCTGGCAGCCGCAGGTTCTTTTCTTGATACTTTTGATGACCTCAACTCCATATGACCGGTTTGCGCATATCGGATCGTAACTTCCTGAATTATGGCCCTTGATTGTACTAAAAATTGTGGTCCCTATAGATGTCCCAATTTTTATCCAATTAGGAAAAAAAAACGTTTGAATATATCCCTGTTACACACTAATGATGGTTGAGTTCAAATTTTGTGAAAATCGGACAAAAACTGACAGACATAATGGCCGCCCCTTGTACGCAAAGAGTGTAAAAATATGGTATATCAAGGTTGTGGACCCTCTAGAGACAACAGTTTTTATCCGATTTGGATGAAACATTAAATGTTTTTATCATAAAGATCTTAGTTCCTGTTGATAATCACACATACCGAAAAGTAACTTCCTGGATTATGGCCCCTGATTGGTCGAAAAATCACATTTTTAGCTTCTGGATTCTCTAGAGGTCACAATTCCGATTTTAAAAGCCGTTTAGATATATCACTATCTAAGGTTGAATAGGAATTTCGGGAAAATCGAATTGAAAGTGCCTGACACGCAAATTGTGTATAAGTATGTTATACAAAGGTTATGGACCCTCCAGAGGTCACAATTTTTATCCGATTTTGATGAAACTTCAAACATATCTGAGTCCCTTTTAAATATTTGCATATTTCAGACCATAACTTTCTGGATTATGGCCCCTGATTGTACAAAAAATCGTTTTTGTTTTTAGCCTGTTATCTATCCATCTCTTGCAAAATGTGGGCATATCCTGCCTGGCAGCCACTGGGGGGGGGGGGGGGTTACCTTCATCAGTACAGAAGTCGAAGCGGAGTATAAGACGAAGGCCGGACTTCGTTGGAAAAGTATCGACTTATACCCCAGAAAAATATGATAAATGCCTGCACCAAGTTTTGTGATAAGCATTTTCTGTCCTTTTGGAACCAATAATTGTGCTTGTAAATGAGGGGGAGTGATGAATCGGTATTTAGTTTCATTATTTCAGTACAAAGACTAAGTTGGATAATTAAGGAGTTTTTTTTTTGCTTAGGTTATTCAGTGTTATAAATGCTATATGATAAGACTAAGAGTAATAATAAACAATTTGATTGCTCAATGCTTTATAAGAGATAAATGTGCAAGTAATGTCATCTATTTAATTTGGAGTTGAGGCTGAGGACATCATCCTCACTATTAGCTTAACATAATTTGTTGCCCCATCTGAAGAATCTCTTTTAACTTAATCTTCAACATTGTTATCTTACCTTGAATGTATGGGCTCCAATAAATTCACAGTGGACAGTTTAAAAGTGGATGCGGAAGAAATTAGATTGGCTGATCCACAAACGACTAAAAGATTGTTGTAGGCTGGACAAACCATGTGCAAGTGAATGCCATTTAATTTGGACGGCTGACACATTTCGCTGAATATAAGAAATTGAAATATACATTTAAAATTGGATGGAAATCAATTTATTTACATGATGTGTTTTTTGATCTATTTTCATTCATTATAAGGTTCCAAAGAATAGAAGTTTAGATCCCTTAAAGAACTGATTCCGATCAATCGGAATAAAATTTGAATCCGACTTTGTCTATTCCAGTCCTAATATTGGGTTACAAAAACAGTGCCTAGAGTGGAAGAGTTTTGATTTTGATAAAACAATTTTGAAAATTAAATTATCATTGATAATTGAAAATGTGTCTGAAGTGATGTGTAACCAGTGGTTAGTGTGTGATATTGATTAAGTGATGAATGTGTTAATTAATAATATCAGTTACTATCTTATAGTGTTGATTATATGTCTAGTGATAATAACATAATTGATCACTTGGTTCCCTTTATGAACAAAATATATTGATATGATACCAGAGGACATTGGCCCTAGTATACCGTAGTTAATTGCATAGACTAGCTGCAAAAGAAAAATAAAGTTACCACTTAGCATAATTGTGTATTAAATTTGTTGTGTTGTAGGAATAGTTATGGTTATTCCAAAATTATTTTCTGTCTATAGAAAGAACACTAGTTCTAACACGGGTATATATCCAAATTATGAAATTCGTTTCCAGTCCTAATGCATAAACTAGATCTGCTGCCTTTTGTATTTGCATTTGCTTCAGTGCAAATCAAATTTCCATTTATATTTTCAAATTTTTATTTTTACCAAATTCACTTAATTTTCATCAATGATACAGAGACTCTGCCAGGGATCTAAAAGGTTTTTGACACCAACCGACCGAGCATAATATTGCCCCACCCCACTCTGTTTCTCATTTTTTGGGGTTGGTTTTTTTTTTCAAATATTACTTTATTACCTTGAGATTAACAATTCTTAAAACAGTGTTTGTGTTTTATTTGAGAAAAACGAATTATGACAGCAGGTAGATATTGATAATTAAAACACGTTGTTTTATTTGACTTGTGTCTCACGAATTACGACACCATTTACGACATTCAAACCTTTAACATTGGAGTGCCGTAAATTGGTCTGGGTGACCTATTTACGGCAAATATACAAATAAAACTGACGAAGAAACAAATGACAAAATGAAATGAAGTTCACATTCATCGATTTATTCCAAATGATCGTTAGACTAAGTAAGGCACAGACTGACCATTATAAGGGTAAAATGATACCCGGGGTCAAACAGCAAAGTTACCACAGCATCACAACCAAGTCAGTAACGGGTAAATCCTCCTCTGTTTGCCAAACAAGCATTGATCCGACGTGGCATACTCCTAATGAGACATCTAAGGTCATTTTGGTCCAGATTGTCCCATTCCTGTTGCAATGCAGCAGCAAGTTCTTGGACATTGGCAGGACGTTGTTGACGTTGACGTAACCTCTGTCCAAGCATGTCCCAGACATGCTCGATGGGGGAGAGGTCGGGACTCAGTGCTGGCCAAGGTAATGTGGTGATGTTCTGTTGTTGGAGGTAACCTGTAACGATCCTGGCCCTGTGACATCTTGCGTTGTCATCCTGGAAGATGAAACGGCGGCCATGACGTCGTGCGAACGGCACAACATGGACTGCCAAGATGTTGTCCCGGTAGTACTGGCCTGTAACACGCCCTGCAACAACATGTAAAGCCGTTCTTCCAGCAACAGTGATGCCTCCCCACACCATAACAGAACCACCCCCAAATCGATCATGTCTGATGACGTTAACGTCTTGGAAGCGCTCGTTTCGACAACGCCACAACCTCCTACGTCTGTCAAAAAAATCAACAGTGAACCTTGACTCATCTGAAAACATCACATTGCTCCAGCGTCGATTATCCCAGTGTTGACGATCCCTACACCAACGACGTCTTGCCTGAATGTGATGATCTCTCAAACAAGGGATCACGCTAGGACGTCCTGCGCGAAGGTGACCCCTATGCAGTCGATTCCGAATCGTCTGGCCACTCACTCTCACACCAGTGTCTGTTTGAAGACGAGCGCTGATCTGATTTGCTGTGATGACACGATTTCTCAAGGCCAAGGTACGGATAAATCGATCCTGGGCTTGAGTTTTCGCCCTTGGTCGACCTGAGCGTGGTCTGTCCTGTACAGATTGTGTATCACGGTATCTGGACCATAGCCTGCTTATGACAGACTGAGAAACATTCATCGTCCGCGCCACAACCGCCTGTGTTGTGCCGATCTGTAGCATGCCAAGGGCACGTAACCTTTCATTTTGGGTAAGCCGACGCATATCAAAATTTGTTTTCTGGTCACTAAAACAATTAAACTGATGTTTCCACCCTGGAATTCAATGCCACAATGACTGTAACATTCAAAGTCAGAGTCGTGCAAATCTTGGGTTGGACCCCCATGATGATCCCAAGCATCACCTGCATTCCATGCGGTAGCTATTGGTGCGTTTGGGCGTCACATGTTACTGGAAATGTTTCTTCTGTTAGGTTCTATAGTGACTTTTTTCGTAGTCATTTGCATATTTTAGTATTATGCCCCCAAAATCAAATATCCCCTACTTTTTTTGAATAGTATAATTTGGGATAATATGGTCTACTACGGCACACAAAAATAAATTATGCCCTGGCAGACATGGTTTGCATGGGCTTTTACCATGGCTTTGCAGTTTGCTGTGGTAAATTTCGAGCGCTGAGTTTGTGTACAGAGAAGGACGAAGGGGTTTAAATACGACTCGGCGGCTTTCTTCGATTTTTTCTTTGTGCTGGGCGGCAAAAAATAGTGCCGGGTGCAAGCGCCTGGCGCTGCCCGACTTGGCTACATCCCTGTCTCTTACTATCATGTTACCTTAGGGCTGTATTACCATCATTTTAGATCTTTGTTTAAATTCCTCATATCAAGTAAACCTTCGGACCAATCCAAGACATTATGGCTAATTTAACATTTTTAAAGGAAAGTGTATTATTTAAAAAATAGCATTATATTTTTCATAAACTATTATTATTAGCAAAATTATATTTTTAAAGCTTATTATTATTGTCATTTGTATATTTTTCAAACCAAATGTTACCTTTTTATTTCTTTTACATGTCTTCTTATTTTTGATAAAAGGAAAATTGTAATGGTTAATTATGATTACGTAAATATTTTTCGAGGGTATGATGTTTTCAGGTAGCAGAAAGAGCTTTATATTACTGGAACAATGAGTATATTCTCAGTCTCATCAGTGATAATGTTGGCACCATACTGCCTATTACATTCCCAGCATTATATAAAACCAAACAACATTGGAACAAGTAAGACATTGCATGGCAACAACGGGGCTGTGCTTGAAAGGTTGTCATGATTATATTGTTACCATTTCTTCTACCATTGTCTCACATTTAAACAGAGTGCTGCTTTAATACCCTACCCCTCTTTTTTTCTGAATCCTACTTTTGTCTTGTGTTTGATTTTGCAGCCTTCATATTTTATTTTAGTTTGACATTCGTGTATTGACAAATATGACTACGGCAGAAATGATATTAATTTGAAGATTATCATTTTGATGGATTCTAAAAATCATTTATACAGAGGTCTTCACTGGTTGAATAAAAATAAGATTGTTTTCAATCGACGTGATTTTCCTATAGCCTTTGAAAGAGGATGTTCAAATTAGATTGTATGCACAATTTCAGACCAATCGGCCAATACATCGCTGAGAAGTAGATGGGTTTCAAAAAGTTTCAACTAACATTGGTTTATGTCTAAGCCCTAAGGTCATTTGAATTTATTGTTAAAAATTAAATCACATTTAATTTATTAGTGCGAGCGATAATTCCTCTTTAATTTCATGTACTCCTCAGATAACTTGATAGTGTAATAAGATTCCTGTTTGTAAGAGACGGTTTTCAAATTGATGTCGAATTTGCTGCCCTGCCCTCCCGTTATAAACTGACTAGGCCTAAATATATAATCAAGCTTTAATATACTGGTATTTATGATTAATATTTTGCTGGCTTGTATGTGACATTGTTTTTATTTACAGTGCAGCCTGTCATCTCTATCATTTATATTTACCATGTATTGCGGGTACATTTGGTTTGGATGTGTTTATTTCTATTTTTGTGGAATTGCATGAAACAATTTTTTCCTGTCTCTTTTTTTTTTAACACAGGTGGCAGAAAGAGCACTGTATTTTTGGAATAATGAATACATCTTGAGTTTGATTGGGGAAAATGCGTCAACAATTTTACCGCTTATGTTTCCTGCTTTGTACAAAAGTAAAGAACATTGGAACAAGTAAGAAGGGTTTCTAATCAAATTCATCAGATAATATTTGATATTCCTTTCATAGGTGTAGGTAGAAGTAGATCTATGTTTATAATGTAAATAATAACACTGATTTGGCAATGGTTGATTGTTTCATTACAAATTATATTCATATAAGTTTATGTCACTAGATAAGGAATTATGTCACCTTCTGGGTGATATGTTTTTTTTCTACTTTTAAAGACTCCTGCATAAAAGTAAAAGCAAATTATTTAAAGGACAATATTGGTGTCAGTCATTATAACATATGTGATAGAACTGGTTAAGTACATTTCAAATATAATATTAACACAGAGATCTTTGCTACAGGAGATGCAGGGCTAGAAATTCGTCATTTTTTCCGAGAATCTAAGAGGATTCTCATACAGTAGAATCTGTATGAACAGCCACTCCTATTCAGCGACATCTCCTTGTAAGCGGTCACGATAAATTCCCCCCGTAGAAATTCTGTTGTTTTATCTCTTTATTCAACGGTCACTCCTCTAACGCGGCCAGCGGTCACTATTTTACTAATAAATTCAACAAAACATCGCCCATTCAACGGCCATTGTTGAATGATACCATCTTGTCGTTCTTTGTAACACCCCCGCTAATCCCGTGAGTAGTAGTTAATTAACTGGACCCCCACTGATCAGGTAAAAAGAAATGTAAACATAACAATCAACCCGGGATTATCTGTTAATTAATCTTTTGTTTTATTAAACGACTAACCTGATCATTGTTTTCACGCGTAACGACACATTATTTGATACTGATTGAATAAAATAAAAGTACCAAGTTTTGTCACGATCATCTAGTATCTCTCTTAGCGCCTCCTATAATATTACATACAGAGTTACACCCCTGTAAATAGGTGTTCATGTGCTTTTTTGATAAAATAAAATGAATTCATCGATTTTCTTCACAAAAATGGATAAATATTATCGAATGCATCACAATGGCAGACAGTAGTATCGAAGGTTGGTACAAAATGACAAGTTTACAGAAGTTATGTCCGAGATTTGAGTAAAGAATTTTCGTCCGGCGCAAGATTCAGCGACGGCCAAATTTACCGCTTCCAATGCATCCAAGCGTAATATTTAATTTATGTCGGCACAAAAAGCAACAAGATTTTATTAAAAGGCCACTCCCGTTAAGTTATGTCCGAGATTTGAGTAAAGAATTTTCGTTCGGCGCAAGATTCAGCGACGGCCAAATTTACCGCTTCCAATGCACCCAAGCGTAATATTTAATTTATGTCGGCACAAAAAGCAACGAGATTTTATTAAGAGGCCACTCCCGTTAAGCGGTCAGTTGTGAAAATTCCCTTGGGTGGCTGATTAATGCATTTTCTACTGTATATGCAATCTGCACGAATCTTTCGAATCTTAATAATACTGACTAAAAAACAAAATTATGTTTATTGTTTATTGCCAGTATGACTATGAGAAAATGCCGTAGCCAAAATAAGCTGATACGCCGACGTGGCATTTCTTTATAACACAATTTGTAGTCCTTTATCCATCATGTAACAGTCACGTATTTGCAAAAGTTTTTATTCATTCGTCGATTACAGACAAACGGCACAATGATCACGTGACAACCATAACTGAAATTGCTATAAAATAAAATTCTGTACGACTATATAGCCTTCAATAATATTTTTAAAATTAAGCCTCTGTCAGTAGTGTATAAAATAAAAAATCATAACGGTAAACGCTATTATTTAGAACTGGTTTATTGACATAATTCCAACTGATATGTCACATGTCATTGGAATTCAACAATGGAGATTCTGTCGGGAAATTATCCACTGTTTCTCTCTCCGTGTATTCGATGTTCTGTCAGGGGATTATATTCAATGAAGATTTAAATTTACCTAACAACAGGTCAGTGAATCCATCAATGTATTATCCAGTTATTATTTTAATATCTACCTGTACCTGAAATTCACAAGGACGGGGCGTGGAAGACGCGCAATTCGGAAACCATGCCGAGACCGTCTTCAATGGCCACGTGGCTTATTTTACTGAACCTATTATGAATAATCAGCAAGCTTGTTTTGTTTATTTTACCGGATTATCAAAATCACTGTTAAATGTGCTAATATTCAGATTACGAACCACATCTGGCCGATTCTCACTAAGGTATGACTGTTGTTGTAGCCGACAAGCAAGTTGATTGTCTTCTTAATTAACACGTAATTTAGCCAAAGTAGATTCATTATTTATGATACCTTAGTGGCCAATTCATTGTTTTAAATATCAATTTTCTTCACAAAAATGGATAAATATTATCGAATGCATCACAATGGCAGACAGTAGTATCGAAGGTTGGTACAAAATGACAAGTTTACAGAAGTTATGTCCGAGATTTGAGTAAAGAATTTTCGTCCGGCGCAAGATTCAGCGACGGCCAAATTTACCGCTTCCAATGCATCCAAGCGTAATATTTAATTTATGTCGGCACAAAAAGCAACAAGATTTTATTAAAAGGCCACTCCCGTTAAGTTATGGCCGAGATTTGAGTAAAGAATTTTCGTTCGGCGCAAGATTCAGCGACGGCCAAATTTACCGCTTCCAATGCACCCAAGCGTAATATTTAATTTATGTCGGCACAAAAAGCAACGAGATTTTATTAAGAGGCCACTCCCGTTAAGCGGTCAGTTGTGAAAATTCCCTTGGGTGGCTGATTAATGCATTTTCTACTGTATATGCAATCTGCACGAATCTTTCGAATCTTAATAATACTGACTAAAAAACAAAATTATGTTTATTGTTTATTGCCAGTATGACTATGAGAAAATGCCGTAGCCAAAATAAGCTGATACGCCGACGTGGCATTTCTTTATAACACAATTTGTAGTCCTTTATCCATCATGTAACAGTCACGTATTTGCAAAAGTTTTTATTCATTCGTCGATTACAGACAAACGGCACAATGATCACGTGACAACCATAACTGAAATTGCTATAAAACAAAATTCTGTACGACTATATAGCCTTCAATAATATTTTTAAAATTAAGCCTGTCAGTAGTGTATAAAATAAAAAATCATAACGGTAAACGCTATTATTTAGAACTGGTTTATTGACATAATTCCAACTGATATGTCACATGTCATTGGAATTCAACAATGGAGATTCTGTCGGGAAATTATCCACTGTTGGGAAATTATCCACTGTTTCTCTCTCCGTGTATTTGATGTTCTGTCAGGGGATTATATTCAATGAAGATTTAAATTTACCTAACAACAGGTCAGTGAATCCATCAATGTATTATCCAGTTATTATTTTAATATCTACCTGTACCTGAAATTCACAAGGACGGGGCGTGGAAGACGCGCAATTCGGAAACCATGCCGAGACCGTCTTCAATGGCCACGTGGCTTATTTTACTGAACCTATTATGAATAATCAGCAAGCTTGTTTTGTTTATTTTACCGGATTATCAAAATCACTGTTAAATGTGCTAATATTCAGATTACGAACCACATCTGGCCGATTCTCACTAAGGTATGACTGTTGTTGTAGCCGACAAGCAAGTTGATTGTCTTCTTAATTAACACGTAATTTAGCCAAAGTAGATTCATTATTTATGATACCTTAGTGGCCAATTCATTGTTTTAAATATCAATTGGCTAAAGCCGACAAAATACAGCCCCCTGATGAATACTGACCCTGACTGACATTCAATAGTCAGACTCGACAATTCTCTGAGATTTCTTTTGTCCCCCGCCTTTCTAAGAAAGCAGGGGACTATTAAAATGGGTTCGTCCGTCTGTCTGTCCGTCCGTCCGTCTGTCTGTCCGTCACACTTTTTGGGACATAATAACTCTTCTTCTAATTGACCTAGAATGTTCAAACTTGGTGTAGGTGTTTATTAGGTCAATGCCTTGATGGAGTTCGAAGATGAGCATTTTCTGCTTAGGGTAAGCAGAGATAAGCAATTTGATTGGTTGATACTTTGGGACACGATAACTTTAGTTCTCATTAAACATACATTATGCAAGAGCTAAATCTGTCTATTGCAGGTCTTTCTTTAGGCCTGAAATGTTATCTAAATTATTAGACATTAATTAACTTATCCAGACCATAATCAACTCCAGATGGCATCGCTAGCCTGCGATCTTAAGTGGATTGTGAGCCGATTTACTGCATAACTTTCCTTCTCAATTAAACGATTAAATGGATAATCGAGACTGTGCTGTTTATCGTACTGACTTTAGTAATGATGACTGAGGCTAGGCAGAAATTTCATTCGCTTAGTTCTCGGTTCATAGTGGATCAATTTGAATGAAATTTTCAGCAAATTGCCTTTACGTTATCTAGTTTTTAATTATTATAGTGAGAACTGCCAACTCGTTATCGAATCTTCCATAATGTATCTTTAAGTGAGAGGGATGAAACTTGGTGTATAGTTTCATTACATCAATACCTTGATTAAGTTCGATAATGAGCATTTTCTGCTCCGGGTAAGCAGAGCGATAAGCAATTTGATTGGCCGAGATTTTGGAACACAATAACTCTCCTTCTAATGGAGTTAGAATGTACAAACTTGGTGTAGGTGTTTATGAGGTCAATGCCTTGATGGAGTGTGAAGATGAGCATTTTCAGCTTAGGGTAAGCAGAGATAAGCAATTTGATTGGTTGATGCTTTGGGACACGATAACTTAGTTCTAATTAAGTGAGAGTGATGAAACTTGGTGTATAGTTTCATTACATCAATACCTTGACTAAGTTCGATGATGAGAATTTTCTGCTTAGGCTAAGGAGCAAAAAGCATTTTCATTGGTCAAGACTTTGGAACACAAAAACTCTGCTTCTAATTGAGGTAGTATGTTTAAACTTAATATAGATGTTCGTCTTAACTGAGTTCAATGATTAACATATCGAGCTAAAGCTAAGCAGAGATGCATGTAAGCAATTTCCTTGGTCGATGCTTTGGGACAAATTAACTTTGATTCTATCTGATAGAGAGTGATGAACCTT